AAAAAAAAAAAAAAATTTAGAAATGTAGGAAGGTTGGCCAAGGTCAGTAAATTGTTTTACAACAATGGAATAGAATTGTTTGTCCTTCCCATATGTTCTATTATTAGCATTTTCCATCTATTGATCTGTGTTTTGTAAATAAGTTTTCCTTACTATTAAAGAAAGTTATTAAAGCCAACATTTTGAAAATCATTACTTTTCAAAAAATTAGGTACTTAAGAGATAAATAAATTTGAGGTATGAGTACCTAATGTTATAGATGACGCCTGGATTTAAGTGGTATTCAGCATGAAGGCCAAGGTGGTTGAGATTCATAATCTATTTATAATTCGAGGTCTTAATATCAGTTATAGAAGTTTTAGAACAAATGCGTTTTTAAAAATCATGCTGTATTAATTTTATTAATTAAAAATTCTCTTCATGGAGACTTATTTTATCTTAGGAAATGGCCTTAGGCATTCTCTTTTAATTTATTGATTCAGAACCAAGTGTTTGAAAAAGCATATGAAAAGATTTAGGATAATTGCAATGCACAAAGTGTCCAGCTTGCTGATGATATTTTCCCTTTTTTTGTAGTTTATAAAGCAAAGAATTTTAAATACCTTCTAGAAGGAAATTTTACTTCTTCAATAAAAAGTACTCTATCCAAAGAGTTTCCCCCATCAACTTACAGTTTGTAATGTGGAAGCCTCATTGTGATATAAAACATTACAATATTTTTATTAGGAAGAGAGATCATGGGTGCTCCACATGATGGAATGTGTTTCCCAGTACTTCTGTGTTGTAATAAATTGCAATAAAAAAATAGAATTTATATGAAATTTGATCTGTTTGAAACTTAAGCCAGTGGGATAATGGATTGTGCTTTGGACTCCAAGGTGGGAGGTGGGGTCCAAGTAGCCCTTTAGTCATGAATAGTAAGGAAATTTCAACGCAGGGCATTTAGGTTACAAGGTTCTTTTCCCATTTTTTGTTGTTACAGGCAAAGGGGAAGATAGTGATGTACTCAGTATAAATGCAGATGCTTATGACAGCGACATAGAAGGCCCGTGCAACGAAGAAGCAGCTGCTCCTGAGGCCACAGAAAATACAGTCCAGAGTGAAGCTGGTCAGATAGATGACCTGGAAAAAGATATTGAAAAAAGTGTGAATGAGATTCTGGGACTGGCAGAGTCTAGCCCAAAGGAACCCAAAGCAGCCACCCTGACTGTTCCTCCACCAGAAGATGTTCAGCCTTCAGCACAGCAACTAGAACTGCTAGAACTTGAGATGAGGGCAAGAGCAATTAAAGCCCTAATGAAAGCTGGTGATATAAAAAAACCAGCCTAGTTATTTAACTTGAGTTTGAATTTTAGGTGTGTTTGATGAAGCCACATCCTATAATTTTGTATCTAAAGTTTATTTGGGGTCTTATGTGGTATTTCTTATGTAACCCTATTAGGTAAACTCATCCTAGGCCTAAAATACTTATTGTTTTTGTTTTGTTTTTTTAAACTTTTATATTATAGATGTGTGTTTGAATTCATGGCACATACGAATGCTATTTTAGATGAATAGCTATGTTTGCAAATACTATCTTCAAAGCCATTAGGGAACAGTCATGGTATTTTTTTTCTTTGTTTTTAAATGTTTGGCAACAGACCCAAAAGCTTTAAGAAGGATTGACCAAGCATGTTTCTCTTAAGACGACTTCTATTTTGCAATAAATATTAAAATTTTTGCTTCTAGATTTGTTAATGGTTTAAGAAATTTTGTTTTGTGTATATGTAATTTTAAAATATTTACTGTTTTGAAGATGCCATCTGTGAATATGGATTTCCTGGTTAAAACTGAGTAGTAGTTTTTGTTGTAAGGCTTAGAGATCTGCTCTTTATGACTGAGTAAAACTTTTTTT